TAAACTTATAATATATGTATATTTTTAGTCTCTAAACTTATAAATATGTAAGTTCAAGAACTTAAAATGTATAGATATGAACAAATTTTTAACAAATTAACTAATGAAATGATTAAAAAAAATATATTTTTCTTAGTTTAAGGATAAAAAGAGCGTAAAAAAATAGTTTAGAGGTTTAAAATGTTTAGAATTGAAAGTCTGAGGACTCACGTTTGTATTTAACCAAAATGTAAATTTGGAGGGGAAATATAAAACAAATTAAGAGGAAGAGAAAAACTTTTTGCTACTGAAATCAAAGAGAGGGATTTAAAGTGGGACATCAGAAAGCAAAAAGAAAGTGAAAGAAAACACAAAAAGAAAAAGATAAGAGAAAAATATAGTGTGTTCTCCTCTTTTCTTGCATGCAACATCATTACTGCCACCCTCTTTGTTTTTTAATCTCTAATCCCAATCAATCTCCTTTTTATAAAGGGGAAAAATTTTTCTTTTCTAAGACTAAAATTAAGGGTATTCTTTTGAAGTTGTCTTGAAATATTTCATCTTACACAGGCTGATTTTATAGTGGATTATAATAAGACTCCAGAAATATTATAATTATAATATTATATAAGAATATAAATTTATAACGATAATATAATATTAAATAAATAAATACATACAACATAATATGTGATCCCATAAATAAAAACAATCAATTAATTATATAATAACACTTATAATTAGAAGTTTACAATATCAAATATCATTATATTATAATTATATAATTATTTGTGAAACTATGCATTTTAGTCCGTGGTTCTCTTTCTCTTCTCCCTCTTTCTCTAACTGACTTATTCTTTGATGAACTAGCAAGGCATATGTATTTCCTCATTCAAAAATGTCTTTTACAGTCTATCATGCACTTGAAAAATACCAATTTAGGGTTGAAAAAGACAAATATTTTTAATGAATCAGGATGCTTGAAGATTAATAATGATATTTTTGTCTTTTTTCTCACCTTGAATCGGTGCAGATTGAGAAAAAAAAAAAAAAAAAACAACTAATTCTCGTTTTTTTCACACCATTTGGTATTTGGTATTTGGTATCTTTTCCTCATTCTTTCTTCTGACACTTAAAAAGCAAATACTAACATAAACAAGGATATATATGTCCGGATTTGCAGTGAGCTGATAATTGATGTAGAAAAAGGCTACTCCAACTCTCAATAATTCATGTCCTGACATAAAAAACCGAATTTTGAAAGGCTATGTATCTTACATTCTCATCCTCCATTGTGTTGGGTTTAACATCGACACTTCACAGTTCTCTCAGAATAGGAGTACGTGCTGGATTTTGAATAGACTAATTATCTCGAGATTCTCTCTTTCTTACACATTTGAGCATGAACTATATAACTTGAGATAGCATTTCTTTTTTTCTTTTTCTTTTTTTTTTTTCTCAAATCCATTTTTACTTGTCTCAAAATTTGAACATTAAATCGCACATAAGATGAAAATAATGTTTGCTATTGCAATTGAAAGCAAAGTACCGTCCAATAAGAGAAATTCCATATAACAAAGGAAATGATTCTCTTTTCCTAGGTGGGCTTAACTAGTTATACTAGTATACATGCAGCAGAGATTCTGCAAATTCACATCACATATTTTCAATATCAGTAGGGAATAAGAATATGCATCTAGCTGCTACCAAACCCATATATCATGCCAGATTGCCAGTTGAGTTGAAATGAACTTGACAGAAATTATTGGGGGTACTTGAACTGTATATTAATTATTGCACTTCCTTTTAAACTTTGTTTTCTTCTCTTTTGATTTCCTCCAACCTGTCGACTCTTAAAGTAAATTGAGCAATTTTGTTACATACAAAATTCAGATCGTTGGGACTGGGAGCATGCAAAATATATGCATTAAAACGAGAATAGACACGTCCAACGCCATCTACAACCTTAAAGAGTTTAAAGCTTTGCGATGTGAACACTCGATATGAATGAATGCCACTACATATCAAGAAGACATAAATACTGTCAATGAAATCATCATAACAAATTAGAAAAACAATGGATAAACAGGTTAAGGATCTAGCGGTCAAGAGAAAGAGTTTACAAAAAAAAAAAAAAACTGGTGAGGTTTGCATGGAAAAGACTATTTATGGCAACTTTTAATGGGGGGAATGTTTTGAAGGAGAATATTGTGATGGATGGATGGATGGGTAGGTGGGTGGGTGTCACCATTTTTTTTAACAAGTGGCAATAACTTTGGGGGGGAAATGGGCAAAAAAAAAAAAGTTGAAATAGCATGAGAAGAGAGAGCAGAGAGCACTATTATAGTCAAAAGTTTTCTCTTCACCTTTTACATCTTTTATGAATCCCACTTTATTCATTTACTATTTAAAATCATTGGATTGAGGATCGAATCAACAAAAGCTTTTTCCGTATCTCACACAAACAAAGAATTTCCCACTAAATAAAAATGTACACTACAACTACAAATTTATCAAGGGAATGTGGGAAAACGCCAAAGGGAAAGAAAGAAAGAACCCAATGCCCTAGAATTCCTTTGTGTTTGAATAAACGCATGCTGGTTTCATCAGGCCACAGGCCTCTGGCTCTCCTTTTCAAGCTTCCAACATGGATTCTCTTTGCCACTGCAATACCTATCACTTCTCTCAAGAGATAGTACCAGTAGATTCTATTTTTCATCCATGTTTATTACTTAATTCTTTGTTTTGCTTGTTTGTTTTTATACTACTATAATAAAGGATTTTCTTTCTTTCTTTTTTTTGGCTTTGCATGGTCATAACGTTTTATTAAAGGATTAATACAAAGAGTCATGATTGCTGCTGAGGTGGTGGGTATGGCTGCTTTTATCTTTTGTTTATACTTTTTGGGTAGGGTTGAGGGAATGTCTCTTTGCTTGAGCTTGTAAGCTTCCCTTTTAAATTTGTCTTGGGACTCAACAACCTTTGATTCCGTGTGGGAAAATCAAATGAACAAACATTCCATTCCCACCTTGAAAACTTCAAAGTGATGCTCTAAGGGGTAAACACAAAGCTTTTTCCTTAATTATACTCCCTTGCTTACAAATTCATTAGACTTGAGGAGTGTCCTCTGCATATCTACACCTCATCCAAAAGTTAGCATGGTTAGATTAGTTTATAAGAACTTCAACTTTTTGATATTATTCATGTTTCATAAGTTAAAATTTTTTTTTTAAAAACTTATATTTTTTTACTTCTTTTTAATATTAAAAAGACCTTAAATAATAAATTTTGAAAAACTTCAAATTTATACTTTTTATAAACTTCCTTTTTATTTACTTCTTACTCACTTTTTTCTATTTCTAAAAATAACTTTTAAATTTTTCCTCCAATAAAAATTTAAACTTATCACTTATAAACAATACAAAAAAAATAAAAACTCTTACTAACTAATCCAAACATGCTCTATTCAATAGCTTAAGCTCCAACATTTAAGTGCACCTCAATTCCTGGAATTTGTTAGGGTTCGATTAGCAGCAATGCTTTGTAATTATCCACAATCCCCCAAATTCCCCAAGCTGTCAGATGGTCAAAAATAAAATAAAATGGATTTCTATATCAGTTGTATTCTGCAATCGAGACTGAAAAATACCTTCTTCTTTTTTATAATGCGTATTGAGAATGCTATTTTTTAGTCCAAATTAAAAATAACTAAATTGCCCCTTTAATCATCCTTTGAACTAAGAAGAATAGACAATTTTCGGTCCAGATGCTAGTACGAAAACTAAATCAGAAAATCAAACTTTGCATCCTCAATTTAACAACTCTAATTTTAATATCAAATATCCCGTCACACAAGTATCATAATATTTGGTTCTCTAGTCTTTGACTGATGTATAAATTGGTTTTACAACTACAAATCTAACTATTTTCTTTATGGGTTGTGGTCCTACTGCTGCAAAGCTCTGTCACGTATCAGTCTTGCATATTCCCTCAATCATGCAAGCAGTGACTGTAATCACTAATAAACAGTATATTGCCACAAAGCAATGAGATCCAGAACATACTCTGTCGTAACCATGCATTTGATGCTATTCCTTTGTCTCTCGAGATCAGTGAATTATCAGGACTAAATAATGAAAGTTATGGCTCGAACATAAATACCTTGGATATATGAGAAGTGGGGTGTTGACTGATCTTATAAGGATGAGCACTTCGGGGCTAATCATACCCCAATCGACCCACTTTCCTACCATGGGACCGAATTGGTAATTTCTGTCCATCCACCTGGGGTTTCTCTTCATCAGGACCTCGAGTGACAATTTTTAAAGGATGAGCCTCCGTATTAAACACCCATTCATCCAGAGAGATAACAGATGGAGGCGAAAAAAGGAGGTAAAGATACTTGAGTGTCTCTGCAAGAAAGAAGCTTTGCATCATGTTGTCTTTGGAGCCTGTCGTAACCTGAGGAAAACAATGCAAAGAATACATTTTAAGTCCAAATTATTGAAATAATTGGACCATCATATTATAAGAAAATAAATAATGCAAAGGATTAAGGAAAAAAAATTCTAAATTTCTGTTGTCAACACATATCTATAATGCAACAGAGGCAGAAACACTACTTATGCTATTGGTAAAATAGAATACACAACTTTAACAATTAAGATAAGAAAATCATTTGATGCTATAGATAAAAGAGAAATATCATTGCCGTGGGGTATGCAAAACTTACATCTTTAAGTCCAACATATCCCGTCTCTATGCGGGAGTTCCTCTCAAATGCTTGGAAGATATTCCAAGCCCATTCCTGGTATGTCTTGTTACCGGTGAGACGCCAGAGGTAAAAGAGTGACTCAACAGTCTCAGGCCTCAAAATATTCCATGAGGTACCAACACTCATATACTACATTGGTTTTATTATTTCTGTTAGTATGGTGTAGATAATAAAACAGCTTTTATTACAAAAATGAGAATGACAGATCAAACCTCTCCAGAATGGAAGAAATAGTTCTCTCCAGCTAATTTCGTAGGTGTTGACTGATAAAAATTATAGCAAGTCCATGCAAGCTACATTCAGTGCCAAAAATATCCAGTCAGGTAAAACCGATTTTGCAGTCCAAAACAACTTAGATTGTATAAACAGTAAGGATAGTTTGGCCAGCTCCCAGCCAAATAACTTCTCAAACAGAGCATTATTTTCCTTTGCCACTTTAAATTTGCTTTTATGTCAAACTAATTCTAATCAGCTCAGTAAAATAATTTCTACTTTCCACAGCAGGCAATTCCAAATTAAAGAAAAGAGTTTTGTAGTATAGAAGTACAGAGTGCCTACAAATATCTATGCACTCCTCAAGTTCAGAAGGCATTTATAATTTTATTAAAATAAAATTATGAAAATTTAGATTTCTTTCTTTTATTCCCACCATCGCCAAACCACGCTCTAACAAAATCATTTATCTCTTATATTCTTTCATGTATGCCTTTTTCCATTTTTCTCCATCTGCTACTCTCTAATCTCTCCACGTCCCTAGTGTCAGCTGCATCAAAAGGTCTAGGAAAATTCATCTAAATCTGTGTATGTAAATATCTTGTTCGATAAGTACCTCTCCTGCAAGTGATAGAAACTTCTCAGCTTCTTCAGGACCATAACCAAAAGATCCTAAAGCCAACATTCCAGGAGCAAAGCATGCTAGTTCATCCATCTGTATGCATTAAGAAAAAAAAAAAATCCCCTTCAGAGAACATAAAACAACTATGCAAATGAAAAATGAGTTACAGATTATCTGAGTACCACCTTATCAGTCAACGAATCTCCAGTCTTCTCACATAGGTAAGCAAAAGAGGATGGTCTTGTTCTTCGGATCAAGCTCTGAAAACCTTTCATCGATATCTCCCACATTTCCCTATTTTCAGTATTATTACAGTTCTAAAGTCAGATACAACAGACTTCAGCTTCATAACATCACCATAGACAACATAATAAAATGACTGTACAATATATTGATATGCATGGGGTGACCACCAGTACAGACACTATATGGAAAAAGAATAAATACTCCCACCAATAGTATAAATAACACCCCCTAGCAAAAGAAGAAATAGCTTAAAACAGAATTTTATGAATTGGCACACAGTGCACTCTTATTAAGTGTATTGCAACAAGTCACGCTTGTCATGGTACAGCAATAAATGATATTTGAATTTTCTCACCTGTAATGTTTTACAGCTTCTGTTTTGTTCCCTTGTATCCATACCTTGAGTAGGTACTCATAAAAGCTGCATCAGAAGCAACATCACCAACAAATTAGCATGAAACTGTCTTCAAATTATCTTTATAGATTTTACAGTAGAATAATGAAATGCATTTAACTTGGAAAGTTAAAGTCAATCAAATCAAACATGGCTTGTATGGCGGAAATAACAAAGTTGAAATTTATCTAAATAAATTCTCATTTGCTTAGCTATCTTATTATTATTATAAAAGTTCATTGAAACCACCATATCTATTAGCCTGTCTGTGGATTTTCAACAACATTTGTCACTTTCTCCTCAGAATGTCTTACTTCCCACCCAAGCTGGGGCCGGGCCACTTAACACTCCTCATTTTCTGCAGGATTGCACATAATTTGAACTATGGGTTTCCAACAGAAGCAACAATCTAAGATATCCTAAAAATGACTCGGCCTCAACAGACACCATAATTGATCATTATATTCCTCACAACTGAATTCAGTAGGTCTCAGATTACTAAGACTCAATGTAGCACAGTTAAATAAGTTTTACCATTTTGAGCAGTAAGAAACAACTATATAAACAATTCAAATTTTTTTTAGGAAATGCAAATATAAATGGATGAACCAGCAAGTCCAAGAGAATATTCTACAAAGTTTCATGATTCTAGAATATTATAAGCACACCATTCTAGGACACAATACACATGATAATAGCAGTGAACTCATTATAACTAAATATAAAAGCAAATACCTATCGCCCATGGCACCAAATGTTATTGTTGAATAAGCTGTTGTTCCAGTGTGAGGATTAATGAATATAGGGAGTAACCCATCATCAGGAAAAATTTTACGCAGTTCTTTGATGACATTCTCTGCCTGAAAAACAGCCCCTTGGATAAGTTACAGCAACTCAGCAAGCATACAAAATTATCTTTTGAAACTTTGACCACCACAGTTTCTCCAGAGAAAAAATAATTATGTAGAGCACATAAAAGACAGAAAAACTTCACTGAACAGGAATGGGAACTGGAACGGAAAGACTTGCATGGGAAATAATCTGAAAATGATCAAGGGTATCAGAATGAATACCTTCTGCTGGTACTTTGGGTCTTTTGTCCTTTGAGATAGAGCAATAAGTTCAAGCTGCTCTGTTCCAGAGTCTGCCAGGATACTGTTTCCCTAGAAAACAAAACACGTATTATTCAGAAAACAGAAAAGCTAGTATCCCATATATCAGTTATTAGTTATTTTATATGGAAATCTGCCTCAAAAATAGCTAAAAAGCTCAAGACAGAATTTAAAGCTAGGAGCATTGCAGACAAGAAGTTTTGAAATTTTGCAATGAAAAGCTAATTACATTATATTAATTCAATTAAAATATTATTAGAAGTGAGATGTGGAGAAAGTACCAAATCTTATAAACATAGTGACATATGGACTAACATTAATCACTTTAAATAAGGAAAAAAAGAAAAAAGATATTCAAAACTCACTCCCGTCCACCCGGGGTTATGTGGACCCCCATTTCTCAAGTTAATTCTGTTATACGGAATTCCAGATGGTGTATTCCATGCAGGCAGCAACCTGTCAGCAATATCTCTAGCCTTTTCAAGGAAAACATTGTCTCCAGAGAGATCATATGCACTAAGAAGGCCACCTAAAACTCTGATTTTGACAAAGGCATTCAAGATAAATAAGAAACAGGATCAGCATATATATACTTGCCAAAAGAGCTTATCCAAAAACCTTCAAACATACTAAAAACATGATTAAACCTTCTAATGCAACCTTATGGTTGTCTCAAAAACACTAGCCTCATAATCCTTATTGAAATCCAATGAATTTGCAACCCACCTGCAATAATTAGCATAAAAGCAATTTTATTAAAAACATCTAACAAAAATACAAAAGGGATTGCAGAAAACCAGGACATCCTAGCAATTAAAATGATAGGACACCTTATGAAATTATTTAAATGCTCTTAATGAATCAACATACAAGAAAGATTCATTAAAGGTATTTGGATAATTTCATAGGAAGTCCTGGCATTTTAAATGCCAAGACGTGCTGATTTTCACTTTTCTCAATACAAAATCAAAACACAAAGGGAAATATCAAAATAGCAACAAAAAAATATATATATCCATTTAGAATAATTACATGGAAAATGGCATCTGAGCTTTATCAAAAGCAAATGTGGGACAATGGTCTTGCACAAACACAAAGGTAGAAGGAACAGTTGAGTTTGTTATCTAGGGAACTGGAATTATGGTCTTCATTTGATATACCTGCTATATTACATAAATTAAGAGAACCTTGCTAGGTTGGTTTTTTTTTTTTTCCTTAAACTCCACCAGAAACCCAATTGCTCCATAATTTCTCCAGCCTTTTTACCCTCAACTAACTCCAGAACCACAAAATCACAAACTCATCACTTTCAAAGATGATAGATTTTCCTAAATTTATCCTACATCAGGTGTGCAACATAATACACAAAGTCACAAATGTTGAACACATCCCTGCCGATATACAATAATAAAAGAACTAAAGAAGAGAGGAAACGGGGGCAAAAGAAAAGAGAACTCACTCTCTAGCTCTTTGGAACTGCTCCTGAAGACCCATTATATATAAAGTATCAAGAGAATCTATCAGAGTTGCTCCAAGACCACCAAAGCTATCAACACCATCCTTTGTTTGTGGCTGTTCAGAACTAACACATTTAGTTCCACACATTGGACAAATAACAGGTGGACAAATAACAGGTATACAACAAATAACAACTTGGAAAAGCACAGCATTCCTTAGGCCATAGCTCACAGATCACAGGATCTCTCAATTTTAACAGAACAGACCAAACGTAAAGGGAAAATAATGAGAGGGAAAAAGTGAGTATTTACAACAAATTACAAATAAAAAGGGACTTTACAAACTCCTTTTAGATTTTAGGTCATGCAAAAAGGGCCATTCAGAGGGTCTTAATCAGTAGTTGGTAAACCACAACTAAAGAAATTCAAATTTTTAGTCCAGAAGTTCAGATAAAAATTCTACCAACAAGGACTAGTTAATGCATTTCTTGACGCTTAATTGTTAGCTATGCAACATTAATTTCAATTCTTAACCAAATTAAAATTAACCTAAATCCCTGCCCAATGGAGATCACCCACCTTGTCATGAGTGGAACTATGAAGAGACCAGGCAGCCCTAGCACACCTAACAATTGAGGTAAATTTAATTTCCTCACACTTCTATGAACCTGTAGATCAAATAGTGGCTAAAATATCGTAATACCACATAAACAAACTTTACTTCCTTATGCTAAGGAAATACTGAAACTGAGATATGGAAGACAGTAGCATAGACGTAGGAGAAGATGAAGATGGTTGTAGACCAACTTGGAGACGTCCTTACATGCCAATATGGTTATGAAAATATAAACGCACCCAAGACATTCAGAAAGAACCCAAAACCCTACAGTATCTGCTGTAGCAGGTGGAGTAATTATGAAACAAACCTGAAGTTCGTCCTTGCCCCAAGCATACTTCTCATAGGAAGTCCAAGCATGAAGCATAGCTTCTTTAACTTTCTCTCTTCGTTCAATGCTAACAGGATCATCCTCGTAAATCCTTTTATTGTCCTTAAAGGCAACACCAGAACCTTTTAGTTGACTCTTCAATTCTTCTATCTGAAAGGACAGATACAACAGTCTAAGCAAACCATGTAGGTTAATCTGAGGCCACAAACCAAAAGACAATACAAACCTGATTTTGCAAGCTGATAACTTCTTCATTTAATCTCCCCACTTCTGCCTGCAAAATTGATCAATTTAATTGTTTGCTAAAACAAATCTATGTGAAAAAAACAAAGATCATATTTCTCGGAATCAAATAAAAATACAAGCTTGAACGCTTGAATTTAATCAGCAAAAATTTTAAAAAAAAAAAAATGTTTCTTCCATGTTTTTCTGGTTTGGATCGCTTCAAACCCATCTAAAATACAGAAATTCAGAGTCGCCAGCTTCACATTAAAGAGGAAAATTTACAGCGATTATATATTTTCATTCTACATGGACAGAACAGAAATCCTTAAACATACTAAATCCGCAAAATATCTAATCAAGAACAAGGATTCAATCTAATCAGACATACAGGAAGATCAAACGAGATACTTACCTCGTGGTCTCTGGAGAGGGTTTGGCGGTCCCAGAAGAGGCAAGTGACGGCGACGAAGGCGAAGATAACGAGTGCCAGGCGTTTGGGCCTTTTGAGGTAGTATGTGGGGTGGAGGTATCTCCATCCCCCTCTACTGCTAAGCGAGGAACTTGAAGAAGATGGTTTCTTCGCCATGGAAATGCCCGATCTGAAGCTGAATCGAAGTCGGGTCGAAGTGGCTTAAAGTCTAAGCAGAGCAGGAGTCAATCAAATAGAACATCGACTTGAGACGCGATCACGGTCTGGATAGCACTTGGACTAAGTCGTCTGGGTCTTCGCTTGCCCCTTGCCATACTCTTACACCATAAATGTATTGTTGGAAACAACTATAAGATTATTTGTCTGTAGTAAAATTTTTATTGTTTTCTTTAAAAAAAAAATGTAAGGAAACTATTATTTTTAGATTTTACTTTTTATGAAATGATTTTTTTTTTTTAGGAATATGAAATGAGCTTCTTGTTTTATAATATAAATAGTAAAATAATAATAATAATTAAATGAAAATATCTTTTTTATTTAATAATTTTTAATTTAAACAACACAACATATTTTTATTATGAAATTACAAAGAAATACATTTTGTTCTATTGTTTATAACTTTATATACCCCTTATTATTTTGTTTAAAGATTAAAAAAATAACTGATTTATAATTTTCAATGTTAACCAGAATCAGAGAAGTGGTTAATTAATGGATTGTGCAAATCAATATGAATCGATTCATTTATAGTCATATTATTGTACAAAATATAATAAAAGAAAAAAAAAAAAAAACATTATAGCTGAATTATATTACTCCCTAGTCCCTACAAAATGTAACATGCTTTTTTCAAGTCTCCCAACCAAGTACCAACTGAATGGTGTTAGCTGTTAACTCCAACAGGAGTCTTGAATTAAGTGACTGTACTAACAGAGCAATGCACAATAGCGTGGTTAGGGTCAGGAAGATTAGAGTTTGAGACGCTGCATCTCTAGCCATCTTCAGAGCAAGAAAGCTTCCTTTTAAGGATCTCATTCTCCTTTCTTAGTTTCATAATCTTTGACTTGAGTGTTTCAACTTGCCGATTTGAAGCTGAATCTCGTTGCTGCTCTACAAGTTTTGTTCTGCTGATTAACACTGGAGAAGAGGCATGTTAGTCAAACCATTTGCATTGCAGACAACAAAGTCAATATAAACTGAAATGAGCCTAGCAATCTCAAATAGGATTTAGCCCAAATCTCATCATCGCAGCTAGGATTCTAGGAAAACATAGACAAATTTGTAATAAGAACATGACTGATTAGAAAATTGATATTTCAGTATTATTTCAAGTACCATTTAATCATATAAATTGCCAATTCTAAAGACTGTTGAAAGCATAATGTAAGTCCAAACAAGCAACAGAAATGCAACATGATCTGTCTACATATCAAAAGGCTAACTACAGACTCACATTCTTTTTCCAAATCGTGGAGTCTCCTAATCAACTCCTGTTTCTCTTCCTGTTCGACCATTAGGCAATCTCTCAAATCCTGGATTTCTGCACAATCTGACACAGTATAATTATTACATTATCAACCAAGTTTTAAACATCCCAAAACCTGGCACAGAAAATTCAATAACTGATTATAAACTCAAGACTTACATTTTGATTCCACATCCAAATGTACTTCATCCAAACTCTTTGCCAAGGCTTGCAGTTGGGTTTCATGTGCTCCTAAATCTTGACGAAGATGAATTATGGTCGCTTCATTTGTTGCTTTTTCAAGTAGAAGGCCTCTAAAGTAGCACAAATTTCAATCCAATTAGAAAGAAATATATATAGACATATATTTGAGCAACTTAGTTGGGACTTGGGAGGCTTACCTCACGTTAGCCTCTAGTTCTCCAACCTTAGCTTCATAATCTTGCTTGAGCCGTTCAATTGCCTTTCTGTGCCCCTACTCAGATTTTCAGCCATTATAACATCAATTAAAAGTACAAAACGTTTCACTGGTACACACATAGACAAATGGCTTATAAAAGCTGATGATAAGCAAATGGATACTCCTAGAGACAAGCAAAGTCGAGCAGTACCTCTTGTTTACTAATATGTTCATCATTTACTCTCTTCAACTCTTCTTTGAAGCTCTGACATTTGGTACGACGCTCAAGCTGGTTTCCAAAATAAAAGTAGCAAACTTTAAAAGATAATAACTTCCCTACCACTTTCAATTTCTTATAATGGGTCTTTGTTGCCCTCAAGGCCTCAAGGATTAAGAATTCGAGACTCTAAGTTAAAGATTATGAGTTCAAACCTTGAAATAGGTGAGGAGCAAGATTGCAAAAAGTGCTAGGTAATTGTTGGTGATTGCCCACAGCAGAGGTTAGAGTGCATAGGCAATGCCTAGGCTGCCTAAGGCAGTTTTTTTTTTTTTCCATAATATTTTTTGATATAATTATAAAAAAAAAAAAAAGAAAAAAATGCAAAACAATTCTAAAAATTACAAAATAAACAAAAAGTTAAATATTTTTCTATTTATTATCATGTCTAAAAAGTAAACTTAAAAGAATGACTTGGCATTTAATTTTTTTTATATAATTTTATAATAAATTAAACACATGTTTCATTAGATTAAAAGAAAAAAAGTAAATTTGCTGCGCTTGAGGCATCATTAAGCGCAACTAATAGTGCCTAGGCATGCTTAATTGATTTAAATACCTAAACATGCTTAATTAATCTAAGTGGTGCAAACCGCATAGCATCACCTAGAACCTAGGTGGCACCTATTATATAATTCATTATCTAATATATTTAAGAAAATGATTCTCTGCTAAAACTAAAGACGAATGTAAAAAATGTCCAATGTGCAAATAAACTAAAGAAGACAGTCAGACCTGCTCGGCCAAATTGTTTAACGATTCGGTGTAAAGTTCTCTGAGTCGCTCATTATCTACAATGTAAAAAGAGTTTAAACTGAGTTTAGAGATGCCTAATCCCATTATACAAATCTGGTTTCACCCGTGCTGATTTAGCCTGATATTTCTCTCCGGAAGAACCCAATACAAAACAAAAGGAAATCAAAGTAGGCAAAGAGAAATAGGGCAAATCAAAACAGATAAGGAGTGACCTTGTCTGAGACTGTTGGAAGTTATTTCAAGAGCTTCTCTCCTCTTCATTTCTGCATTCAGATTTGACTTCAGCTGCTGAATTTCGGCGATGCCACTCTTGAAATCCTGATACAAACCATCATGTTATACATGTTTGGCAATCAAGAAGATTCAACAACAAAAGAAATGAGAAAATTAAAGCCTTTTAATTTTCATTCAATTTAATAAAAAAAAATTGGGATGGACTGAATCTTGTTTGGTTGCTGAGAAAGTGGAGAAAAAGAAGAAGAAGAAGACGGAATTGGAGAAATTTAAGGACAATGCTTCCATGAGACAGCAATCTAAGCCAATGAAGAATGTTCGGTTTTCAAATTAATTGCTCAAACCCAACACTACACGCGTCATGAAAATTAAAGATTCATTTTCCTCCGTTTTCTCTCACTTTCCACTGCTTTCTCAGGAACCAAACAGAAGAAAAGGAAAGGAAAACCTAAGAAAGAAAAATAGATAGTAGAAAGAGAGTAAAGACCTCGTAGATCTGATCGAAACCGGAGAGAAGCCAATTCATGTACTGTTCGCTAGTTGCCGCCATTTTTCCCCCTCTGCCTTCTTCTCTCCTTCCAAATTACTAATAAATCAGAAAAATGTTGAGCAGTCCGAACGGACGCGGACTGCACAACTATAACCAGAAAATTGAAAAAATCTCCTTAAAGCCATCAAAGTTGTTCGTTATTTGAAATTTAACCCTCAAAATCCATTTTTTCGGCAAATCAATCCCTTAACTTATTATTAGCCCAGATTAGTGACATTCGGAATCGGATCCTATCCTGAACCCGATCCAACCAGACCATTTAGCCGGCTTTGGATCCCTCCATTTCAGGGTTTGGTCTTCAATACGGGGAAGAAGCAAAGCGAAAGAGAAAGGAGAAAATGGCGATGAGGAAGGTGTACAATGAGATAAAGGGGAAGCAGGTGAAGGAGATTCCTGGCTTATTGAAGCCGGTGCTAACCCCGAAATTCTGGAACGAATCTGCGCAGAAGTGGCTGGATAACTACCACGCCAAGAACATTCAGACCAGCTCAATCCAGCCTCTCTACCATGTCTGCTTCGGTGGCATGATCTTTTCCTACCTCGTTGCCCTCCCGGAGGAACGCCGTCACCTGGACCACCAGCAGCACGCCAAGGAGCACGGCGACAGTCACCATTGATTGATCGACTTTGTTATTCGGTCAACAAAGGTATTGATGGATCAAGCACCTCCTATTTATTGTTTGTCTATCCATTTAGATGGGGTTCTTGTGATCGATGCTGATTATTGCTGTTTCTGCCTGATTGGGCGTGGAGCAGTAGTTAGTCAAAATGCTGGGGATTTTTGTCTCAATTGTCTGAGGAATGGCTTAGTTTTGGTTAGTCAGTGATGAGAAGATTGAAATAGGAATGTCTTATTCTGAACAGGGTCTGGTTCTGTTGCAATGTTTTATTGATGCAAGTATTGGAATTGTTAAACTAGTGATTTGAATTTCTTTCCTTGATCCATTCTGTTTTTGTGTTTGCAATCCAGGTTAGATTGACTCATTAATTTATATTTTATAGTTGATTCTTTCAATGATGTTTAAATTTGTGTTTCTGCATTTCTCTTCCTTGTTATCAAGTTGAAGTTCATTTTTTACATCCACTTCAGGGGATTTGTCTTCATCAATCAATATCTTTTTCTTCTTCTGTGAAGGCAAAAGATAAAGCTGTTTGCAGTTCCTCTTGTTCTAGTGCAACAGGGAACTCCGTTACAGGAGTACCCCAGCCCTAGTAACAACACTTCATGTCAAGGAATCGTAAAGAAAAACACCAATTCATCATCTCGTAAAAATTCTCCATTGATTCATCTAGTCAACCACCGGTTGCCTTACATGAGGTGTTCTCTGGCAATGGTGGTTGTGCCTTTGGTGTCCTTATAACATCTTTGACTGACTCTTCTAAGTTGTGCTGAGACTGTGCCTAGCTTATCTTTGTCTGAGCCAGCTAAACTTTTGGAAAAAAAAAAAGAGAGGATGTTTCATGGTTTATGCCACCCAGGCTGATCAAATGCTGTTGAACTATGACTCCTTAATTAATCTTTTTGGTAATTTAACTACTTTTTGTATACTTCATTTGGCTTGAGTTTCTCTAGTTTGAAATTCGTTTACCTTTTGTTTTGCAATGATGGTATGATATCTAACTTGTTATGTTTTTTTTTTTTTTAACACTTTTCTTGTATTGCTGATTTTATCATGTTTGATTCAGTTGCTTTTCTTAACTCTTTGCATTTTTTTTCTGTAGAAAAAAACAAACTCCTTGGGTTGGCTTAGTGACCATTGGCATCCACAATGTTTCAGTTGTAATTTCTTGCTACTATAGGCAGAATTACTGTCTTTGTTTATGAATTGCTGCATTAAGTGATAAAAATAAAGAACATTTGACCATGATGGAGAATTTTTAGTATTTTGTGTTTTTATGTGAATGGATATCAGGAAAACATAAATGTTTTTTCGCTTTGATGCTTTGTTTTGATATCTATATTTCAAGGGATAATAACAAGCCATGCTGCAATGATGGTTTTGCACATCCAAAGATTCAATACTTTTATTTATTTTTTAGGAAGCGGATGGTTTAGCCTAGAAGCGTAGAAACATGTTTGAAAAACATATGGAGATGACCATTAAGTTTTTGTTAATTACAATGTTTTTTTTTTTTTTCTTTTTTTATTCTGTTGAATAGAAGTGAGGGTGAGAAAACAGGCTTGTCTTGGAGCTTTGGTGTCTCTGTTGCTACTCCTTTTCCATCTTGGTGCTAGGCCTTGATGGGAAAACCAAATTGTGTGAATGGATGTTTGCTAATAGCTAAATTTCAAATGAACTACTGTCTATTTTGGCTTCCTTTGAGCATGTTGTGCTATACGTGTTTTTCCTTTCTTTCTTTCTTTCTTTCTTTTTTCTCTTTTTCCTTTTTTTTTTCACCATCCAAAAAAAAAGGCAAAACCTATTATTAAGCCCTCAAACTTACCCCAATTTTAGCATGAAAGCCTCTAAAAATATATTCAAGCACATAAGCCCGTAAACCTCCCAATTTAGGCAAATTAGCCCTTCAGACTAACTGTCTGGCACATTCCGTCAATGACACTAAATGCAATATGATGAGAGGCTAATGACAACAATAAAAGCATAACTCAAATACTTAAGTTACAATCATGGGGTTTTAGTGTCATGGACAAAATGTGCTGGAAATCATTGATTTGAAAGGTTAATTTGCTCAAATCGAGAGGTTTAGGGGCTAATATGTTTTTTTAAGGAGCTTTCATTCTAAAAAGGATAGGTTTGAGGACTTAACATTGGGTTTTGCGAAAAAATATATAGAATATTAATTAATTATTAGTAAAAATATATTAAAATTTTAATTAAGAATAACAAATTTATTTTTGTAGATAAAGTATTGTGTGAAAAATGTTAATGTGAAGCATTGTCAAATGAAACATTGCTCTATCCTATAAAACCATTCCCAAAACTATTGGAAAAGTTAAAGTTATGCCAAATGTATAAATTTTCTAAGAGTGCTTACAGCTTTTTATCTAATATCTTGAAGTTAAAAGGCTATTGCATTGCAACATTAAAGCTTTTACTATTGTTAAATAAACTTATAATTTGATAAAAATTTATTAAATGTAAAATTTTATTTATATTATATAATTATTTTATATAAATATAAATATTTGTTTTTCCATACAAACACAAAGTTATACTTAGCAAACAACAGCTGAGCCGAGCAGACTCTTTGATTTGCATTAAAGATAAATATTATTAACCTTATGTAACGAAGGAAATGGAAAACTTTTCATCACTCCAAAAAGTGATTCAGGGCTTCAAAAAATTTGTTTGCCGAAGAGTTCGAACTCTGCTAGTGCACCACCACGAAGCAATGGCTCCACTTCCATCGATTTCTCCTCATCACTAGTCTTCAAGCCTAATCGGAGCTCCAAGTCCACCTCCATGCTATCCTCCTGATCATCAACATTAACTGTGGCATTGCTGCTGCTGCCACCGCCACCAGCACTGCTGCTACTGCCGCCACCATTGCTGCTACGACTGCTACCACCACCGCCCCAACCACCATTGCATCGAGATTTCTCTACATGGATGATGCGTAGCCTCTGGATCCCCGGCATCCTTGTCATCCTACAATCACATTCCAAGAATACAACGACATCCTTCTCCTTCAACCCCTTCTCCTTAACAAACTTGTTCCATCCCTTGGTCAACACATAACTTCCACTACTCCCCCAGTAGCAATACCGAAAGTTCCACAGCCTCATAGCACCATCCCTGAGCACCAATTCTAGAGTCCCTCCACCGGCTTGAATGTTCGGAAAGTATTCAGTGGCATATCTTTTAGGGATCACCATCCTGTTCAACGGACCAACGTCACTTGGTGTCAGCTCCTTCCGAAACAATTCCCTCCATGCTACCACCTCCACGCCATGCCCAATACTACAAGACCTTGCATATTCCAAAAACTTGGAAATGTAAGAACCCTCCCTAATCATCTTCAGAATTTCTTCAGTAGAATACTGGGTCTGGAACTTGGCTTCCTCGGTGGTAATGGGCGTCCATGGAAAATTTCGGTGAGGACCTCCCCAACGAAGCTTCAATGAAGCGCTGTCATAAGCGAAGGCTGCTTCAAGTTCGGTTCGGAAAGTTCCCAGCCAAATGCGTTGGTTATAGGAATATATTTGGGCACCCCAGTTGCCGTTGGGCTTTTGGACCACACCTTTGAATCTTGTGGAAGGTCTCACTGTTTCTTCCTCCATTGTGTCCCTGAAAGATAATCATATTCACAATGAAGTTAATTTATAGATGTTCTTTCACTACTTATTTCACAGGATTTGCAAGTCTAGAGCCCCACAAATTGATTTTTATATAGTGGTCAAGTGGTATTATGGATTAACTTTCATGCACTATTTTACTTATGAAAAATGTAATAATTGGATACAAAATAGTTAATCTCACCCCTTCGTTGAATCTTGTAGAAGTTCATAATCTTAATCCCACCCAATTGAAAGTTAGAGACTAGGCCTAGGGTAAGGGTCATGAAATCGAATTAGATGAAAAAAAAAAAAAGAAAAAAAGATGGAACGGGCGATTAAATACAATTCAATCCTCATTCAAGAAAATTGGTTTCACAACAGAAAAAATATATCATATTGTTTAGAAAACGATATAAAATAAAAACAATTACCTAATTGAGATGAAAAATTATAAACTTTAGATACAACAATTTAAATATTTTTACTTTAGACATTAAACCAGCACTGATTCATCAGTTTAGTCAATTTAAAACCCATCACGATATCAAATTCCCCAAATCATTTTTACCAACAAAAAAAAATTAGATTGCGAAATCAAATGAAATGCGTAGCTAATTCATAAAACGATTTAAAATTAAAACAATTACTAAGTTGATATGAAAATTACGAACTTTAGATTTAACAGTTTCAAGACTTATACCTTAAACACTAAATCGAACCGATTCATCGGCTCGGTTAATTTAGCACCCATCATATTATCACCCTTAAACAGAAATATGAAGACTTCACTAATGGAGATAAACCTAAAATGAGCATGACATGAACCAAATCAGGGGAAAAAAATAAAAATAACACTAATTGAAGAGTTACCTGCACCGAATGGAAACAATCAACCAGTGTTTTGGCAAATAACAAAAACCCTAAACACAATTTAAATAATTGAAACCAACCCTGCCCATTAGGAAAGATACTTTGAGAAAAAGGCAAGTCTGGCTGTAAAATTATAGAAAATTCCTGGAGTCAATTAATTAGCAAATCCCCAATAAGGAAGCTCCTATCTTTTAAAACATTATATAATTAATACCACAAACATATCAACAAGAATTGCAAATATAAAAAAACAATAGTCTCGCGATATATTATCAAATGAGTTGATGCATTCCTAAATAAAAAAAATCAATTAAGTGAAAAACGAGCTTAATATGATTATCAACATGTAAAATTACTAGATAATATATTGAAATATGTAGTATTTTCCATCATCTAAATCAACATTTTTACTCTTCAATTTATGTTCATAAAAATTTTTTCTTTTTTGTTAGAAGAATAAAAGATATCACCATAAATAATTGTTTTACAATAATTGAATTGGATAAATACTTTCAAAAGAAAGTTCTTCTATTTTTCATGGAGTATATAGATCTCCTAAGTACATAAACATTTTGTGATTGCTTCCTTCATCGGGTCTTAAGTCATGTAACATACAATAGGTAAAGCGATGGGAGAGACTGCCAATGAAAAAAAAAAATGCAAAAGCAATGGGAGAGAGAAAACATGGAATTCCTATATCTCAGC